ACAGAACAAATGTTTCAGAGGAATCTAGGATTACTTTAAAATTATATTATTCTTGATTAATCGAAGCTAATCTTTGGTGAGATGAGTGTGCTATCGTGTTTTAATTCATCACTAGGACATAGGGATATGAACATTAATAATTGATCTGATACATTGTATGAATGGGCATTCCGCTTGTCTAAAAAGGGTAATGTAAAGAAGATCAAAATTCTCAATAAAAGGTAAAATACTAGGCTAAAAATAATCTGTTCCACCGCATCCTCCATTAAAATATGCCTTAGATACCCCGAAAACATTTTATATGCGAATTCCACTTAACTTTTATTTCGAAAAGGATAAGTGATATTCTTATGAGGTTTTCTAGAAGACTACAAAAAAAATCACGTCGAATGAACTTATGTGAATAGTCATTTAAGGCCTGCTTAAAATGCTTCGTAAGATAAGCCCTCAAGTGGACCTGATCCGGCTGCCGGAGTGCAAGACTTTAAACTTAGTCCAAAAGGAAGCAACCATGAAATAAAAGTATAAATAGATTGATAATACCGAAGAGAAATAATTGAGAGATACGAACCATTGTCTAATATCAGTCAGAGACTTGGCTTGTCCCTGGGAGCTAAGCAACCAAACGGCAGGGCGAGCCACAAGGCCTGTGGAGAGAAGAGACTGAAATGATCCGAAAAGACCGTCTGCGAGGACACACTGCTGATAAGGAATAGAATGAGCTGATATTGTTGCTCGCGATGAATCAATTCGGCGTACCTCACTGCATGTCAAACTTTCCGATGGGTTGGCAAAGCCAGAATTGCCTGATGACAAAAAATGATCTCGTCGTTGGACAACCTTTAGGAAAATGAGGTTAATTGAATTGGCGACATAAGGAGAATACGAGATCAAATGAAGATGGAGAGAAGGTGGAGAGAAAAAAGAAGAATAAAGAATCGGCTTTAAAATGAATAGTCTAGATGGAAGAAAACTTTGAAAATGATATAATTAGGTGCTAAAAGTTATAACTTTACAGAAAAAAGATGAAACAAAATTAGTTTTGGGAGATGGATAATTTCCAGTGATGCTAGTTAGCCTCGGCTCATAAGCCCCTAACGCAATAAAGAGGAAGATCTGATTATTGCTAAATCCAAAGAATGGAGCCTACCGTTAAAATAGACGGTTGTATGCGATCTGGGATGAATAATTATAGGTTGTACTATACTCATGTATTCATAGATGAAGTGACAGGATTATTTAAGTGAAGTATTTCCGATGTAAGTGCATTTTGAAACTATCAGTAATTGGGAATGATTTGAGTAAGACATAATTAGCCCTGAGTTAGATTTGCCCTATGCCCAGCTGGCATCCATGGCTATGACACACAAAGCGCACCGTCTGGTTTTAAATACCATCAGGGGTGATGATGAGACATGGACGAGATCGAAACTGGGGCCCACTTAGGACGAAAATCTCTTCTGGGCAGCGATGCTAAATGAAATTAAATGGTATCACGAAGCTTAATGATAGTCACCATAAAGATACAGTTAAAAAGGAGGCGGGGGCGTTCAAATTTAAGCAAAATAGAAACAAGCGGATAGGTTCTTTAAATACTATACTTTGTCTAAGCACATATATACACCAAAGCGTATAATTTCTGAGAAAAAGAGGGAAAACAATTAGAATGAAGAGTTAAAGGGGTTGGAATTGATGGTAAACATATTTAATATTTTAGCAAATAGGATGAACCGATTTTACTTGAATAAATTCGAACAGGGTATAGGAAGATCTCAGGCAAAACAGAAGATGTTTATGCGGAGACAAACATAGCTTACGCAATCAACAGACTTTCGATAACACAACACATTAAAGGAAAAACAATGATGGCGAAGAGAGCATGCGGACCAGTGAGGAAGTATGAAATGTAACAGACCTGGGTAAATAAGGTGAAGGCAGAAGCGACCAGAAAGCTGCTCGCCTGTGCCAACACACGAACGTTTAGATCGGCTGGAAAATGTCTGTCGAGGTTGTATAACACCATTCTGCAAGTGGCCATCCAGTGAATACACTCGCAGTCGATATCTGAAAATAGAATAAAGTGATTAAGAACTAAAGAAATGGAACTAAATGTACATTTAAAAAAAGTGAAAAATTTCAGTTATGAGTTTACATAAATATGAGGGCATCATTACGTCTGCATTTAGTCGAGTGTGTAAGCTAGCAAGCCCAATGTTTTATAGGAAATTATACATGCAGACAATTCTACCGGAGGGAGAACTATGAAAGACTATCAAATATAAATTAAATCTTCTTTGAATTAAAAAAAATCTGGTGCATTAAATTGCTTAAAAATATCAAGGCATTAGAAAATAATCCTTTAAACAGAATTATGAAGCTCTTCACGCGAGTATGGAATC